CCAATAATCCCCACAAGAGCAAACACCATCCTTGAAGTGATGAAAACGGTTTGAATCCCTAACAATAATCTCCCTTTCACTAATTTTTGAAATGACTTTGGTTGCATTTATTGAAAACTGTGCATGTGGGCTCAACACAAGGCTTGTATCCAACCTAAAACCAATTGGCAATAGGCGGAGTAGCCTTCCTTGTATTTAACCCACAAGTTTCTTATTTTTATACTCGATGTGGGATTTTCCCACTTAACACGCCCCCTCACGTGCAAGCCCGCTATGAATGTCAGGTATTGTCACGTGGGTTACGCCTCCTTTAAATACAGGCTCGGTAACAACTTCGGGTCTTGTCAAATGGGCTAACACGAGCTTCCCAGGGCAGAACCTGGGCTCTGATACCATATTGAAAACTGTGCATGTGGGCTCAACACAATGCTTGCATCCAACCTAAAACCAATTGGCAATAGGTGGAGTAGCCTTCCTTGTATTTAACCCACAAGTTTCTTACTTTTATACTCGATGTGGGATTTTCCCACTTAACAGCATTGTGGCAATCACCACAAACATGAAGGTTATTGAATATTCGAATAGGACTTTTGGGAGGAGTGCTAATAATTCCAAATGCCATTGCCAATCTCTCACTATGACTCATAAGGATATGCTCCTTCTCATCCTCCTCAACATCCTGTAACACAAAGCTATAGTCTGAAATATGACCAAGGATTTTCATTTTATCAGTCAAACCCCTTAACTCAGTGTATATCTCTTCACATTTTGGATGGGTTTGGTTCCTAGTACAGAAAACTTCAACCTTATTATTTAGTTCTATTGAGCTCCAACCTGGGGTCTTCTTCAATCCCCTGTCTCTTGCCAGTGACCTTACTTTACCCATTCTCTCCCATTTTCCAACATTTGCATAAATATTTGATAACAGAACGTAGTACCCAACATTCTCTGAATCAACTTCAAACAAGTGTTTGGAATCAAAGGTGCCCAAGTCAACATTACCATGTATCCTACAAGCAGCAAGAGAGCACCCCAAATAGATGCATCTGGCTCCATTGGCATACCTTTTATAAAATTGTATGCCATTTCTAAATGCCCTGCTCGACCAAACAAATCAACCATGCAGCCATAGTGCTTTCAACTAGGTTGAATCGGATAATGTGCCTACATCACATGAAAGCACCATTGGCCCTCATCAATCAAACCCGAATGACTACAAGTTGACAACAAAGATACAAAGGTAATGTGGTTAGGTTTCACACCCTCATCTAACATTTCTCTAAACAATTTCACAGACTTCTTACCATGACCAGGAATCCCATGACAGGATATTATGGAATTCCAAGGGACTGAACTCTTTCTGGAGACTTCATAGAATAAGGACATTGCATCACCCAATCTCCCACATTTTCCATACATGTCAATGAGGCAGGTTCCTACAAAGACATCCAAGTACAGAGAGTTCTTAAACTCCTGACCATGAACTTTCAATCCTTGTTGCAGGGCTCCCAGATGAGAATAAGCTGGTAGAATGCTCACCCAAGTCCCCTGGTTTGGTATTATCCCATTGGATTGCATCATCTGGTATACTTCAATTGCTTCACTTGCAAGCCCATTTTGAGCATAACCAGTGATCATTGTGTTCCAAGAAATTGCATCCTTAACCAGCAGACCATCAAAAACTACACGTGCATAATCTATAGCCCCCAACTTAACATACATGTCCACCACAGCATTTCCAAGAATAACATCTTGTGAAATCCAGTCTCTTCTTGTTATAAATCCATGGACAGCCTTGCTATTTTGAGAGTCATTTAACTGGGCAACAATAGAAGATAAACTCACCAGTGTCAGCAAATCAGGATGAGTTCCAGTTAGTCGCATCTTATTAAATAGCCCTAGTGCTATAATTGGATCATCATTTTGCTCATATGCAGCTATTATGGAGTTCCATGACACAACATCCTTTACCACCATGTCATTAAAAACCCTCTCTGCATGTCCCAGGTTACCAAATTTGGCATACATGTTAATCAATGCATTGCAGACAAACAGATCAAATTCTAAACCATGCTTTATAGTGTACAAATGGATAAGCATCCCATTTAGAATATCATTTGATTGTGCACAAACAGATTGTGCACAAACAGAAAGAATACTAGCTACTGTAACAGGATCCATCCTAACCCCTTCCACTCGCATGTCATACAAAACATCTAAAGCTTCTGCAGCATTTCCACTTTGACAACACCCTGAGATCATTGCATTCCAAGAACCTGTATCTCGTGCTGGCATATCATCAAATAATTTCCGGGCAAAACCTACTAATCCAAACCGAGTATACAAATGGATCAAGGAAGCAGCAACAAAGACATCCCATTCAAAACCCAGCTTTAGAACCAAGCTCTATATCCTCATCCTATCAAGTAGATTTCTACAAGCTTTCAAAACAGGAGGAAAGGTGTGGAAATTAGGTTGAAGACTAGAAGTAAACAAAAAACAATAGAAACAATCTAAAGCTTCCCTAAAATGACCACCACGAACATAAGCAGATACCATTGAATTCCAGGTATAGACATTCTTGTTTGATATCTGATGAAAAGTTCAGCAAGAGGCTAAGATATCACCAAGGTAGGCATAATGATTGACAAGCTTCGTGGAGATAAAGATTTTTTGAACTTTTACCGAAACCACCAAAAGAGCATGAAGGCACTTAGCTTGGTGCAATTGGGTGCAGTGTTCAAATAGAAGATCAAAATCAATGTCTTTGTTCATGTTTTCAAACTCATTTGAAGAAATTTCTATTGCATTCGCAGCTGCCGAAAACAAGGCAGAATGTGCTTGAAGGGAGGCCAAGAATTTGGATACAAGCCGACCTTTACAGGTTGGCAGTAGCAATCTGATAAATAGAAATGTAAATGCATAAGGCAAAGCATAAATTACAAAAAAGATTGAAGACATACTAGACCCTTAAAGTGGACTCAATATAAAAAACTCAAATGATGCCCAAAATTATACTCTGTTCAACTGATCCTCAAGGCAAGTACTCAAAACGAAGTGTAGACCATTGGAATTGCTTCATGTCTAGATAATTAACAATGAGAACTCCAAACAACATAAACACAGTTCCAGCCTAGTGGTTAGAGAAACATGCAAGTTGTTGGCTTCTAACCTGCCAAGGGTATAAAATCATTTCAACCAAAAAAAGGAGTTAAAGGCAATGGACATCCTTGTGCCATAAAATTGGGGTCATTATTGTCCCTGTACCACAAGCCTACAAAAATGTTCAGTGGAGTCCTTGAACTTAATATTTCAGTTACTGGGAGTGCTACTGCTTAAAATTGTTGGTTGGAATCCTCAAACGGTATCCATGTCATTTTGAAGCAAAAAAAATACCTTTTTTTCTCAAAATTCATATGGTAGAACATCAAGACATCCACTGGTAACTGAACCAGACCATTCTTTTCATCAAGAGTCAAGACTACCTAAGAAAAATGGATCTTCTTACATCTTCCCAGCAACAAAAGCAAAACAAAGATATTGACAATAAATGATAATAGAAAAAGGCAAAGGTTCTCTAGGTTCTCCAGACATCATAACAAATAAAATTGCAGTGGTTACTAATTGTGTTTAAAGAACACTGTCTAACAAGATACAAGACTTCTCTAACAAATTATAGAACAAAGTATCATTAAAAAAAAAAAATTGAAATTTACTCTCTTTTTTATTTAACAATTATTCTCTATATATTGGAAAGCATTTTATTAAAATTGATTTTAAGTTTTTTCATAAAAGCTCTTTTGACTTTCAAGACTTAATATTTCAATGGGTGCAACAGCCATTGCAGCCATGTTGTTTCTCAAGTATATATAAACCAAACAACTCAATACTAAAAACATATGAAATTAATTTTTTTTTCCTTAAAAAATGACATGGGATATTTGAAAATGAGGAATTATTTTATAGGTTTTTTCTTAAACGGTTAATTATGATATTTGAAACAAGCTAATGATAAATTAATTTTAATATATTAAATAATAAATATTAACTATTTTATCACTTATCAATTGTTCTTAATAGTCATGTTATGATAAAATTTTTACAAGTTCTTTAGCCTTAACAAGTTTTAAGTATGGTCATACCACAGCCGTGTAATAAATAATGACCTGCAGATAATTTTACGGGCTTGTTTGCACAAAAACTTTATTTGCCAGCCCCTACAAGCACAAAGCCAACAGGACAATGGTAAGAGAATAATACAAGCAGACTTTTTTCTGTTTTTTTCCTCTTAATTGGAACCCTAAACCTGATCTTCCCCTCATTGTGCAATAT